TGTGTGTGTGTGTGCGTGCGCGTGTGTGTGTGTGTGTGAGTGTGTGTGTTTCAAAATGGAAGTACAATATGCTTTTTCCCAGAGGTCATGGTGATATAACTGAGAATCATGGAAAAAAGTAAATGAGTGAAAAAGAAAGCTTTTAGAGAAATGGACAGAGAGAGAGAGATATGCAACCTGACAAAGAAAGACAGGTTGAGTCAGGGTTATTAGAGTTAGCTACAACTAAAATCAGAAAAACACTTTTTTTTATTACTTAAAATAAAATAAAATAAAATAAAATAAAATAAACATTAACTGAAATAAAACAAAATAAAAAATGTAAAGATATTTATTTCAGCTAGCTGCCAAGGCAACATTTCTCATTTTCTTTGATTTAACTTGAAGTACTAAAATAACTAAAACTAAACAAACCATTAAAAAATACATTTGTTACTTGAAATAAAATAACTGTTAACTGAAATAAAATCAAATATTTTAAAAAAGCGTATAATTATTTTATTTCAGCTAGTTGCCAAGACAACATTTATCATTTTTGTTAACTCCAAGTACTAAAATAACTCAAACTAAAACTAAATAAACCATTAAAAAAACATTTTCATAACTTGAAATAAAATAAATGTCAACTGAAATAAATAAAATACATTTTAAAAAACTTTTTATTTGATATTTCTAATTTCAGTTTAGTTTAACTTTAAGGACTAAAATAATTAAAACTAAATACACTAATAAATAAAAATTAACAAAACCTGTATAGACATTTTCAAAAAAGAAAAAACTAAAACTAATTACCAAAAAAATCACTAAAACTTTAGCTAAAATTTAAAATTAAACAGAAAACAAAAATAAAATCTAATTTAAAAAAATGTACACAAATTATAATAGTATCTCAATGACATGAAAAACACTGTGTTGAGTTTGTAACACAAACAATATCAACCCATATGGCAATTTACCATGGTAACCTCTAAAATACCACAGTTACTACACTTACTGTCAGGACGCAACTACTCATTGTTTTATGTATTAAACCCTGATCCACACACCACATGCATCTAATCTGAATAAAAAGACGCAAAGGAAGCATTTATTTATCTTTTATTATTACTGAAAACAGACTCACCTGCTGTTCTTACGGGGCAGAGGAAGATCCTTCTGGGCCGAAGACAGAGACACAAACAGACAGAGAGAGAAAACAGAGGTCAGACAGGATCAACTCAGTCATGCCATTAAATCAGATACAAAAAAATCTCACAGTAAGCATCATTTATAGTGAAGAAAGAGGCACGAACACAAAAATAATGATTTTAAATGAGAAAACAATGAGAAAAACAAACCAGAAACTATTTAATATTAATTTAAAGTGTGTGAATGTCACTGAGTTTGTGTTTGAAGCAGTTTGGCACATTATTGCAGCACTGAACACGACACAAACGCATCCGTCTGTTGGGTTCGTGTGGACGAAACACACAGAGAGATGCTGCTGCTGCTGTCCTTCAGTTCTCTCTGTACGTCTGCGATTGAACACATAATCCGCTCTCAATTTCGTCTCGCTGACAGACTCTCTGTCTCTCTGTGAGACTCCAGCAGATGTTCATTCACACACAGAGGAACGGGCCGTGCATGTTATGTTCTTACTGTAAATGATTTGTCAGTGCATATTATTATAAAGAGATGAGACCTTCTTCATCCCATCAATCACACTCCGAGCCCCGCCCTCTAAAGCCATCTCAGCCAATCCGAAGTCAGCAAAAAGTTTCATGACATAAAAAGTTGCTTTATTCGTTTCTAGTTGAACATAACTATATTTCAATCATGGCAACTCTCTGAAGATTTTAGCATGGTGATGGTTATGACAATGTTAATGTATTTGGTCTTGGCGGAACAGATCTGCTACGCTGCTGCTGAATTGCTGCTGCTGTTGGTTATTGTTGTAGTTGTAGATTATTGATGCTGCTGCAAGCAAGTACAGGAACTTACTAATGCCAATGCATACGGCGATACGGTGCCGTGAGTATTTAAGACATACTGCTGCTGCACAAATAGCATATAAAATAACCCGTAGCAGATCTATACAGGTGGAGCTGGGGAAGGTGGAGGGTTCAGAGAACTCTGAAAGCGCGCTGCAGGAATCTCTAGTGAATGCTAGCCAGCCATATAAATGCAAGGCAGTAAGCTCATTGGCTGCATACGCAGCATGAACCAATCAGCTTGTGCCAAGTCGTTTAACTCTCTGAATATCATCAGTTACGTTAACACCCTGTCAGCCTGCGCCATCTAGAGTTTCATGACTGGACTATATATTTATGCTTGCAGCAGCTTTAATCATCAAACATCATTACCATTGATTGGTAGACATCACTAATCGATCGGAGAAGCTCAGATGTCCTTGGGCGTTTATGTGCTTTCAGAATTAACACTGTGCTTCATTTTGCAACATTCACACTGGAAACCAGATACACATGAAACACAATCTAGAAATGAGACCTGTCAAAACATGTCCAGCTGTTTGACCACAGCAAAAAATAAGACTATTGATTATGCATACAGAAATGGAAGCCTAATTTTAGGACCATTGAGATATTGTGACATTATTTTAAGGACAATTAAACACAATTTTTCTCAAAATTTACATTACTGGAATGAACATACATGTTCATATATATATATATATATATAGTATATATACCTTGTCCTTGGGCGTTTATGTGCTTTCAGAATTAACACTGTGCTTCATTTTGCAACATTCACACTGGAAACCAGATACACATGAAACACAATCTAGAAATGAGACCTGTCAAAACATGTCCAGCTGTTTGACCACAGCAAAAAATAAGACTATTGATTATGCATACAGAAATGGAAGCCTAATTTTAGGACCATTGAGATATTGTGACATTATTTTAAGGACAATTAAACACAATTTTTCTCAAAATTTACATTACTGGAATGAACATACATGTTCATATATATATATATATATATATATATATATATATAGTATATATACCTAGTCAAATAAGAAGTAATAAGTAAAATCTTTTGTTTCGTTACAAGAGTCACCTGATCAAGAATATTACAGAAATAAACAGATTTTATGAGTCGCTACAACAAACCAAGCCAAGAATAAACCAAAAAGATATTTTAAAATCTAAAGCAGCCATATAAAAGCTTGACAGGTTGAAAGTGACCAGCGTCTTGATTCATGACATTAAGAAAGGAATAGTCTGTATCAGAAGTGTTGTATTTTTAGCTGTATGATTACTCAGCAACAGAAGACGTTCACTTGGCATCGACTGACTGATCAAACGCCGCATCTCTGCGCTCTCGTCTGCCTTCAGCTCTCTTATTGATCCTCAATAAAAGCACGTGTTTCCATGACAACACCGGCGGCAGTGTTAGTGCTGCTGACACGTTTACGCCGCTCGCCCCGTGAATGATCGCTCCTGAGGATCAGGCTCTATCGACTGAGGTTAAACTCTCTCTGACCGACCCATCGGGTCAATGACACTAGAGATAACCTGAGAGATCACCAACCCACGGCAGTACATTCACACAGGACCGACACTTTTTAAGTTCCACTATAGTTCATACAGTGAGTATAAAATGTAAAACCATGTCAGAGCAATTCCACTTACCATAAACATGATGGATGAAGAAGATCTTTCACCGAAATATTCATATTTAATAAAGATTTGCAAGCTACAAGTACAAGAGCAGCATGAAGGACTATTTACTAGTATTTCCACATTTCATGAATAAAAACAAACCAAAGAATTACTAATAGTGATGACGCATTCTTGATTACTTCATTAGTTAAGCTATGAATAAATCAGTAATTTAAAAATATATATAATATTTCAATTAAATTTTTTTAAAAATTTAATTTCTGCAACCACACATTTGCAATACGTTGAAAATGAAACTACAAAAAATTTCATTTAAATCAAATTTATATTTAAGAACATGGAATGTGTGCCTTTATTGCATTAAAAATGTAATATAATAAATAAAAGGTTTGTTTTATATATCTCTAATGGTAAAATTTTGCCAAATATATAACTCAAATCTGGGGTTATTATAGTTAACTAAAACTAAAACAAAAAAATATATATAAAATAAAACTTTAAATAAAATAAAATAAACTTAACTGAATTTTTAAAAATTAACTTTTATTTCAGCTAGATGCCAAGGCAAAATTTCTAATGTTTGATTTGATGTAATAAAATAACTAAAACTAAAACAAAAAAAATAATAATTACTATACGGACATATTAAATAAAAATGTATATAAAAGCGGACACACGAGCGGTCACGGGTCGGAAATCAATGGGGGCTTGTCTTTGTTGGACAACAGGTTTGTAAACGACTCATACACATGTAAAACTGTGTCGCACACGTGCTACTGTAGTACATTTACTCAAGGCTCAGACCGATTTTTGTCGCACTGTACAGCCCTATCCAAACCTGTTCCAGATTGTAGAAGGAGCTGCTCAATTTCACGTCCGCCTTCCTTCACGTCACTCCACACAGTCATATACAGAAATATGTAAACAACTCGACTTTATCGTTATTATCACGGGAAGACGAATTCTTATCGTGTGGAGAATTTTTACCGGTATATCGCAAACGATAAGATATCGCCCATCCCTACTTGGGACAAAATGCCGCTGCACAGTCAGTTACACTAAATCCATTACGGCTGTCGCGAATAAAAAGAAAATGAAATGAAAAATGTTGACTGCAGCATTAAATTTAAAATCTGTTCATGCTGCATCATATTTCTTTTTACGCGTTTTTACAGCTTTGCACATTCTAACCAATCACAGACGAGTCTGTTGAGTCTATGAATGCAGCGGCCAATCAGAGGCGTTCAGATGAGTCATCGCTGAAACACCGGAGTTTTGTTCACTGCTCTCTCGCGAATTCTCTCATCATAAACAACTAAGTGCAGATGTGCATATGATGTAAGTAAGATATTCATCAGAGTGCTGAAACTGAAGTCAGTCATGATGCTCTTTATAATGTAAATGTTCTTTGCAAGCTTTCTCTGTATAATCTATTCGCTGTTTGAATAACCGTGAAAGTGAAAATGTTATAATTAGTAACTTACAATGTTTTTATTAAACTGTAGTGCTGTCAAATGATTAATCGCGATTAATCGCATCCAAAATAAATGTTTTTATTTACTGAATATATGTGTGTACTGTGTATATTTATTATGTATATATATATAAACACAGTACACACACATATATTGAGTAAACAAAAACGGGTATTTTGGATGTGATTAATCGCGATTAATCGTTTGACAGCACTATTCAATTATGATCAAGTTTACTACAAATCCAGTCGTATTAAAAATGTCGGATGACACGACACTCATGTCTGGTATGTTACTGTTACTAGATTACACTAACATTAGGCTACTTTTAGCCTTACCCTGGAATTGGTTCACTCTCCGCCTATGAACTCAAAACATAAAAGCAGCGCATTTCACGTAACACTTACAACTTATGACATTTTCCAACATGATCTCATGAGAATTCCTATGTATTTTACATAAAATGTGGTTCTATAAAACGTACATTTACTTTTGACGACACCTAAAACGTACGTTATTTACGTATGAACAACTTTACAGACTTACAAATGAATCCTTATGAATATTGAAATCGCGGCATTAACATTTTATCATATTGTATTCAGTTGGCATATGAATAAACAATGAGACCAGGCTGCGTTTTCAGTGTGCAGTTTCATTCTGCTGTGTCAAACTATGCAAATATCCTTTCTCATTAATGTTGCACAATAAATCGTTTTTTCAACGGATACCAAATTAAATTTACTGATGTCTGAAGTGACATCTGTTTATGATGATACCTAAACATCCGGCAATAGAAATATTCTGTTTCAGCATAATGAATTCACGGAGCATTATTATCTTCATTAAATGAGTCTTCCACGTAAAGCAGCAGAAGGCTGCAGCTCGTCTCTAGTTTTCCTGAAGAAAGCCACTCTCGCTGTCTGTTTGTTTCACTGTGACTCGCGTGATTCATTTTAGACAGTAATTGAGTTTTCCGTCCTTAAATGCTGTAAAAGCTTCCCAGAAACCCCGCGGAGAAGAGCAGCCCGGCAAACTCATGCGGACAGATGGAGCCGATCGGGAACAAGCTGCCAAACTCTGAGCAGAGATCAGCCGAGCAAAAGCACTTCAGCTGCTAATGGACCCTCAGTCATACTGAACACAGAGATGCTTTTAAATATCACAGTCATGAGGCATGAGACGGGATGTCAAAGCAAACTATCACAACAGGAAAACACGTAAGGGGGAATTTTAACTCATAACTCATTTAACTCAAACCCAATCACAGTATCAGATGGTAAAACCATAGTATTTTTTATGTATATAGATATGTATTTGATATTTTGATATTTACTATAGTACTGAATGTTTACCATATTCATATACCATGTTTCTTCGAGGCACTTCAAAGAGTAGCATGGCACTACCCCAATATACGACCAAAGATTTTACCATGGTACATGTCTAGAAAACGTGGTATTACTACAGCACATGTCCAGACAAACACACTAATACCATGGTACTGAATGATTGCCATGTTCACTTACCATGGTATTCCAAAGAATACCAATCTTCACTGTCCTTATGTGGCCTAATCAGATTATCAGTTAGTAATATCATGGTGTTTTTGATATACCATGAAGTAAAAATGAGCAATGCTTCTACAGCAGTTTAATAATGTTACTTAATGTTAATTCAATACATTTTTAAAATCAAAATTTGTATCTGTTAACATTAGCTAATGCACATGAACAAAGAGTGAAGAAATGCATTTTTATTAACTAACTAATAAATGCTGTAAAAAATATTGTTTATTGTTAGAGTTGACTAATGTAAACAAATTAGATTTTATTATAAAGCGTTACTGGAGTTTCTTATTATTTCTTATCATGTGCAAACTTTTACATTATTTAATTTTAGCTAACATTTTTTTTATCTTTAAGTAAAAAAAAAGTTTTTTTATGGTTTTAGTTTTAGTTATAGTTAAACTATAATAACCCTAGCTGGTGAGTTTTGCATAAGCAAGCACACTTTCTTCAAAAAAAAAAAAAAGTACAAATATTTACTTCTGTGTATTATATTTCTCTTTTTAATAAGAGTTGAATAGAGTCTGATCACCTTCAATTCTAATTCCAGATGATCCATGATGATCCAATTCATGATGACGGGCTGAAAAAGCAGTCTGAGCTGTAATGAAATGGCATTATCTGGGCCTCCTGCCCACCGTTTGGTGCAAACCCATCATTTACCGCGCCAGCCCCATAATCTGAGCCTCATTAACCTAAGAGAGTCCCGGTGCCAGCAGAACAC